CTCTGCTAAGAATATCCTAGACATAATCTAGTTATTACAAATGAGGGAGACTCGTATCTAAAATATACTTGGAACTCAAAAAATTAAATGCCCGGGGCTGGGAAGGTGGCTCAGTGGTAGAGCGCTTGCCTTGCATGCATGAGGCCCTGGGTTCGATTCCTCAGCACCACATAAGCAAAAAGAAAAAAAGCCGGAAGTGGCGCTGTGGCTCAAGTGGTAGAGCGCTAGCCTTGAGCTGAAGAGCTGAGGGACAGTGCCCAGGCCCAGAGTTCAGGACCCACGACCGGACCCAAAAAAAAAAAAAAAAAAAAAAAAAATTAAATGCCCCAACAACAAATCCTCGAAGAAACAACTGCCCAATAAAAAAGTGGACTAAAGACTTAAAGAGAAACTTCTCTGAAGAAGAAAGAAGAATGGCCAATCGACACATGAAGAAATGCTCAACCTCCCTAGCCATAAAAGAAATGCAAATCAAAACAACATTGAGCTACCACCTCACTCCAGTTAGAATGGCAAAAATCAAGAACTCTAACAACAACAGATGCTGGAGGGGATGTGGACAGAAGGGAACCTTACTTCATTGTTGGTGGGTGTGTAAACTTGTTCAAACCACTTTAGAAAGCAGTATAGAGGTTCCTCAAAAGACTTCACATAGAGCTCCCCTATGACCCAGCAATCCCACTTTTGGGCATTTACCCAAATGTTTACAAACAAGACCACACTAAAGCTACCAGCACAACTATGTTTATTGCAGCATTATTTACCATAGCTAAGATATGGAACCAACCCAGATGCCCCTCAGTAGATGAATGGATCAAGAAAATGTGATATATATACACAATGGAATTCTATGCCTCCATCAGAAAGAATGACATTGCCCCATTTGTTAGGAAATGGAAAGGCTTGGAAAAAATTATATTAAGTGAATTAAGCCAAGCCCAAAGAAACATAGGTCCCATGGTTTCCCTTAGTTGCAATAACTAGTATATGTATGAGTCAAGCAGAAAAGGTCAGATAATGTGATGTTAGGAAAATGAACCCTTAGATATGTATTTAAATGTTTTTTTCTTTCATGCACTTGTTTCTAACGCATTTATAAGATTATTTCTTTGTTGCTTTGTATGTCCCTCCCCCACATTATAACCCCTGCTTTCACTATATTTGATGTCGGTATAATTTGTGGAGGAGATGGGGAAAAACAAGTCGTTTAAGGATACAGGTGGACCCGTTGCAACAATGAGAAGTACAAGTTGTCATGTCCAAAACAAACTTTACAACTTTGGTGGGGGGGGGGGGATTTGGTGGGGGGCAGGGGGAGGCTGAGAAGGGATGTGAAGAGTAAACAAAGGAGGAGGCTGCCATGCTTGATAAGAAATGTACTCATTATCTTGCCCATGTAATTGTAACCCCTCTGTACAGTATGTTCACAAAAAATAAAAATAAATAAATAAAAAGATAATTAGAAACAAAAAAAAAAATGAGGGAGACCAAGCAACCTATGTTTCTTTGGGTCTGGCAATGTCATTCTTATTCTTTCTGATGGAAGCCCAGAACTCCATTGTGTATATATACCACATTTTCTTGATCCATTGATCTACTGAGAAGCATCTGGGTTGATTCAGTATCTTAGCTATGGTAAACAGTGCAGCAATGAACATGGTTGTCCTGGTAGCTTTAGTGTGGCCTTATTTGTGGTAATTTGGGTAAATGCCAAGAAAACCACTTCCTTTCTTGACAACCACAGTCTCACTGACAACATTCTCAGCAGCTATCTCAGCTCAAGCCAGATTGACTTTCCTGAGTCCTGACAGACAGCAAGACTCTGAACAGTGAAGATCCCATTTCCCCCTATAAGCAGGAAGAAGTCTGATTCATTTCATCATTCTTACCACTAGAAGAATTCAGGGTCCTGAGCTTTTTTTTTTTTTTTTACTAGTCCTGGGGCTTGAACTCAGGGCCAGGACACTGTCCTCAGGGACTTTTTGTTTAAGGCTAGCACTCTACCACTTGAGCCACAGAGAACCTGTTGGGCTTTCTATGTTTATGTGGTACTGAGGAATCAAACCTAGGGCTTCATGCATGCTAGGCAAGCCACCTTCCCAGCCCAGTCCTAAGTTCTTGAAGGAAGAATATTAGTGAAAGAAGGTAAAAGCAGCAAAAGCCAAGTGCCCAGAGAGACTCTACACCAAAAAGGTCACACTACAACACTCAGAGGGCTGATTCCCCAAACCAAAGACTGATATTAAGGCTTACATCCAGGACTTAGATAAAGGCCCAAAGGAGGCCACATACTCCCCCATTCAAGGTTAAATTGGGAGGGGAAAAGAGTGCTAATGGCAAAGGTAAGTTCCTTCCCACACTTAAGGAGCAGTAGTCTAATCTTTGGGGAGTGGCCATGAGAGAAGGGCCCAGAGCCTTTTATAACCCCACCCTGTTAGATAAAACTAGTTTAATCCAACTGACAGTTTTCAAAGCAACTGCCTGCTTCATCCATTAAGGTGTAACCCTACTTTCCTAATAAATCACTTTTTTTTTTTTTTTGGTTGGTTGTGGGGCCTGAACTCTGGGCGTGGGCTCTGTCCCTCAGCTCTTCAGCTCAAGGCGAGCTCTCTACCACTTGAGCCACAGTACTACTTCCGGCTTTTTCTGCTTATGTGGTGCTGAGGAATCAAACCCAGAGCCTCATGCATACAAAGCAAACAGTCTACCACTGGGCTACCTGCCCACTATTTTTGTAACAGGTATTTAACCACTTTTGGAAAAAAAAAAAAAAAAGCACTCCTTACCAGACCCACATATTAACTAAAAATAAGAGAAAAGCTCAACACCCATCTCAATCTATTCTGAGCCATTAATGACTTACTTATTCTGACCAGACAGCTAGCAGCTAGTTCTAGAATCCCTCCAAAAACCAAGACTAAGATAATGACCAGCCAGGACGTACTTTTACTATAATTGTTTAATGATGTATGTCTTTCATACCTGGCCAAATTCTTTGTCTATTTAAATCTAAAGTTTATGGCTACACTCTAAAGATGGCTCAAGATGGGCTAACATGTTTACTTTGCCTCTTTTCATGGCCATCTCTGCCATCCAATAATCCTCCTCTATTTTACCAGCACTCAACACTTTACCTGAAAGATTGGGGTAAGTGCCTGGACCTAACACATGGAATTCCTGGAGGGGGGCCACGTGGACTAGAGTCCCATAACTCTGCTTTCAGCTTTGGAGAGGCAACTGAAAGAAAATGTGCCCTTTTCCCATCAGCCACTACAGCTAGTTGGCCCTAGACAAAGATGAAAAATGGACTTATTCTAAGGACATTTTCTTATCTTTCTCCTACAGCTAGTATCAGCTACAGGCTCTAAGGTCTGACCCTTAATACTTCTCCCTGACTGGTATGTCTCAGGCCTTCCCCTTTCTCTTTTTTTTTTTTTTTCTTTTTTGTCAGTCGTGGGGCTTGAACTCTGGGCCTGGGTGCTGTCCCTCAGCTCCTCAGCTCAAGGTGAGGGCTCTACCACTTGAGCCACAGTGCCACTTCCAGTTTTCTGGTGGTTTATGGAAGAGTCTCACGAACTTTCCTGCCCCAGATGGCTTTGAACTGCAATCCTCAGATCTCAGCCTCCTGAGTAGCTAGGAATATAGGCATGAGCTACCAGTGCCCAGCTGCCTTCCCCTTTTTTTTCAGTCTGGAAGGTCTTTTGAGGCATTTTGTGGCTTATGTGAACTAATTTGGGCTTTTGCTGTTTGACAGGAAAATTTCAGATCCTTTATTTACAAACTCTTCTGAGCATTTGGGTTCATTTTAACTAATCAAGTTTGGACTTTGTGTTAGTTATTAACAGGGAGGGGATTAATAGGGTGCTTGTAATAGCTCTGTTGTGATTTGCTCATGAATAAAAACTATCCTCTAAAAACAAAAAAGAATGGTAGTATCAAGCTCCTCAATAAATTAAAAAACTAGTTTGTTTGGTTTTTTTTTTAAATCAATATTGGGGTTTGAACTTAGAGCCTTGTGCTTCTAAGCTGAAGCTCTACCACCAGAGCTACACTTCCAGTTCTACTTTTTAGCTGATTATTTTGGAGACAGAATGTCATAAACTTTACTGCCTGGGCTAATTTCAAACCACAATCTTCCAGATCTCAGTCTCCTGAGTAGCTACAATTACAGATGTTGAGTGAGCTACAGGTGCCTGGCAAGAAATACCTTAATAGAGAATTCTCAACAATTGAGAATGAACAACTGAGAGTTATCTCCATCCCCCTTCACTTCCCAAAGTTCACATTTTCCTAATCATTGACTATATTTAGCTGGCTCCATAACTTTTTTCCTCCAGTCCCTACTATTTTATGAAAGAGGAACATTAGATATGAAACCAAAATACTATATGTACAGCTTGATGCCAATGGCTCATTCACATAATCCTAACTACTCAGGAGGCTGAGATCTAAGGATCACAGTTTAAAGACAGCCTAGGTAGGAAAATCTGTGAAACTCTTATCTCCAATGAACTACCCAAAAAAAGACAAGTGGAGTTGTGGCTCAAGCAGAATGCTAGCCTTGAGCAAAAAAAGCTCAGAGACAGAGCCCAGGGACTGGCACCAAAAGAAAAAGCTGCATGTACATTACTACCACTTTGCTTAATTTCCTTTAGCTTCAATTTTTTTCACCTATAAATGAGGATAACATTCCTTGAGGACAGAGACCATATGGTCATCTCTATATAATCTAAAGTCAAATACACTAAAACAATATATATTCTATAGTCAAAATATATTTAGAGAGAGAGAATCTATATATTCTAAAGTCAAAATACGTTAAAATATTCTAGGAATAAATAAATGAGCACATGTAAAACCCTACTTCTAAAGAGCAATCCTTGGTCAACAAATTCCTGCTCTCACAAGAACCCTGATATCTGCATAGCCCCGTATCCGCATAGCAGAACCAGGTTTGGCAATAGCTGCCAATATGCAAAAACATGGGAAGCAGGACATACCTGGAAGGAAGTGGGGATGCAGACGAGATTCAGATTCTCTTGCTTCACTCTTTCAGCTGTGGAGACAAAAGTCACATTGGTGACTCACTTCTCTTGTCACTAGTACATCTGCTCAAATCTGACCAGAAGGAAAGGCCTATCTCCCACTGACAGTTGTCTTTCATTCTGTGTCCCATCCTTGGTGAAAAAGCTAATGCCAGAAAACAGGGACACTGGAACGTCTAAGGAGGTTAAGACAGAACAATCTCAGCTTTCCAAGCAAAAAACATGTACAAACAAGCTCTTTCAATCCAAACAAACCAAAAGATAAGTTACAATTATTACCTCTATTTTCCAAACAAGGAAACTGAGGAAAAGAGATACAGGATCTTGATAGTTGCACAGCTAATCTGTGATAGAGCTGGAATATGATTGTAGGCAGCCTAATTCTGTATTACTATTACCATAAACTACAAGTCTGAATTTAATTTTTGCGTTTAATAAGAAATATAATAGCCAAGCACAATGGTATATTTGTTATCAAGCTACAAGAGAGGCTTAGATTAGAAGTTCCAAATCAACTCCAGGAAAAAAGTTTGCACGACCCCTTCCCAAAAGAAGCCAAGCACAGTGGCATGTGTCTGCCACCCAGCTATGAAAGGAAGTATAAATTAGGAAGGATATGGGCCAGGCCCAGGTCTAGGCAAAATGAGAGACCCTATCTCAGTGCTGGCTCAGCAGTAGTGGGACAGCTTTCCAAACTCCAGTACAGGGAAGGAAGGGAGAGAGCAGGGAAAGTAATCATCTGTAGGCCCCAAGGGTCTTCATTTTAGATATATTTATTCATTTTAATTTTTCAGTAAAGTTTAAATTTTAGCAAGTCTTAAAAAGAAAAACTGTCTTAAGTCAAGCCCAAAGAGACAAATATGTAAAACCTAGACTTAGCTTATAAACTTATAAATACCTTGGGTGGCATGCAAGTATATATAAATGTATTAAATGAAATGTGATAGATTTAAGGGAGAACTCAAATAGTGAAATTCTTAAGAAAGGCAAAGGCAAAGTTCAACAAAATAAACACCAGGAAGTGGTTCCTTGAAAGGTATAGGGTAGGGTTTAGGGGAAAGGGAAGAGGAGAAGGGAAAGAGAATGCAATTAAGAATTCAATGTATATCCTACAAAATTAAGAAAAGTGGGGGCTGGGAAGGTGGCTCAGTGGTACAGCGCTTGCCTTGCATGCATGAGGCCCTGGGTTCGATTCCCCAGCACCACATAAGCAAAAAAAGGAAAAAAAGCTGGAAGTGGCGCTGTGGCTCAAGTCGTAGAGCGCTAGCCTTGAGCTGAAGAGCTGAGGGACAGTGCCCAGGCCCAGAGTTCAGGCCCCACAACCGGACCCAAAAAAAAAAAAAAAATTAAGAAAAGTGAGGGAAAAGATGGAAAGAGCAAGGGGAGGCTGGGTGCCAGTTGCTGGTAACCCTAGCTAGCTACTCAGGAGGCTGAGATCTAAGGATTGTGAATGGAAGCGAGCACAGGCAGAAAAGTCCAATAAACTACTCAGAAAAAGTTGGAAGACACTGTGGCTCAAGTGTCAGTGCACTAGTCTTCAGCAAAAAAAGTTCAGGGAGCCAGGCGCTAGTGGCTCACGCCTGTAATCCTAGCTACTCAAGAGGCTGAGATCTGAGGATCGCGGTTCAAAGCCAGCCTGGGCAGGAGAGACCGCTCCTATCTCCAATAAACCACCAGAAAACCGGAAGTGGCGCTGTAGCTCAAGTGGTAGAGCACTCGCCTTGAGCTGAAGAGCTGAGGGACAGCGCCCAGGCCCAGAGTTCAAGCCCCACGACCGACAAAAAAAAAAAAAAAAGTTCAGGGATAGCACCCAGGCCCTGAGATCAAGCCCCAAACAGGCAACAAAAGTGAGTAAGAGAGAGAGAGAGACAGAGATAGAGACAAAGAAAGAGAGACAGAGACAGAGAGGGAGGGAGGGAGGAAGGATGAGTGAGAATGTTGAAAGGGATGACACTGATCAAGACATATTGTGTTCATAAAACTATGTTGTTAAATGGCCAACTCCTCTGTGTACAGCTACTTAAAGAGAATTAGTAAATTAATTAATAAAAAACTGTCTTTTGAACAGTGGCTGAACCACATGACTAAACCCCAAACCAGCATTAGGAAAAGGGTATAGAGTTCAGTAGGCAGCAACCAAAACAGTTGAGTTTAGCCATGAGCGGAGCAAAGTAGCAGAAAGAGATCAGAGTCACCTATCATCTTTGTATGCTCAACAGATACTTTTCTCAAAAAAAAAAAAGAAAAAGAAAAAGAAAACCTTTCTTCTTAAAATGTCAAGTTTTAAATCACCAAGTCTGCATAATGGAAGGCTTGGCTGCCACTCTTACCAAAGCATAGTATGCCCTGTCCTTAAATCCCCACTTCTTGGTTAGAATAGAAAGGTACTCAGCTCTACAGCTCCAGCTCGGCCAGTAAGGTGGCTCCCAGAAGCCAATACACCAGCATAACAACCACTTCTTAATAACCAAGAGAACCTAGATTTTGCCTCCTGGGCCCTGACCCTTAGCATCTAAAAGAGATCAGGGTTGGGTAAGCCTTCCCAGGCTTTGTACTCACAAACAAAGAGCAGGGCAGCAGAACCTGTTGAGCAGCCATGGGGCTGGTCACTCCTGAGTCCTTCCCAAGCACATACACAACCCTATTAAATATGAAGTTAGGAACCAGCCACCAACTACAGGAGCCTCATCTACTCTCATACACAGGGAAAACCTACTTTGTTTGCCACAGGAAGCCTGGGACCAAACGTAGGACTCCTACTGGCAATACACCACTAAGATAACTACAGTTCTGCTGGGATTTAGCCTCTCCATGTCTAGCTGGGCATCATGACCCCAATATGGGTAGAAAATGCCCAAGAACCCCCTTCCCCAAAGAACAGAAATACTCAACTGACCCCCAGGCAAACAGCCCCCTCTCCCAGATCTTCAGGACAAGAGCTAAGATGGGAAAGTGCAAACCTGTACCCAGTGCTTCCCATTCTCTACCTCCCACCCCCATGACCAAACACAAAGCATTCCCTAGACTGCTCAAAACATACCTATTCGCTGCACAGCATGAACAATTGTGGAACCACTTCCAATTCCCAGCACCTGGTTATTCTGTGAAAAAATAGGGAAGAGAAAACAAAATTCATTATACTGCATTTTATTCCCTCTTCAGACTAGTTCCTAGAACTAAAAATTATAAAGAGCAATTTACTATCATAGGTACAAGGCAGGTACTGTGCCTACCTTCCATGCACATAACCACTGAACCTCAAAACTGTACTTTATCCTGGTATCCAGTATCTAGTGGACAACAGAACCTTCCTCCTTTCCATTCTAACATTGCTAATACCACCATTACACACACACACACACACACACACACACACACACACACACACACACACACACACACACACACACACACACACTCCACCAGACAAAATGATTGGCTCAATTCTTTACACAGTAACTTCACAACTTAGATTGGCCTCACAGTGAGACCAAAAGAGGATAGTCTTAGGAGAAAAACACCAAATTGTAATACCTAAGCGCCTCTTCCTATATATATAAAAGAATATACAAACTGAAACAAACTCCAAAGATAAGGAAACAAAGGACCTTTTCTTAATTTGTTTTTTTCATTTTCAGATGACTCTGTATTCTTTACCTCACACAATGTGCGTACATGCACATCTGAGGGAAGGTTGAGGAAGGACACAGAATCGGTGAAAAAGTATAGCAGTGGAGCACAATGGACATTGATGAAAGTGAACCAGGCAACTCGTGGGCAGAGATTGGAGAGAGAGAATGGGAGAGAAGAAGGGAACAGATACCAAGCAAAACTTGACACATGTAAAGGTAAACCCACAGTATACCACCTCTAAAACAAAATAATTTTTTTAAAAAAAAAGAAGGAGCTTACAAGTTTGCCTTCCCACAACAATGATTTGTTGTGCTTCTGGGTCTTTATTAAGAAAATTTCAGCCTGTGCCAAGGAGCCCTAGTTTTCTACTCTGGAAAGCAGTATGGAGGTTCCTCAAAAGACTCCACATAGAGCTCCCCTATGATTCAGCAATCCCACTTTTAGGCATTTACCCAAATGATCACAAACAAGACCATACTAAAGCTACCAGCACAACTATGTTTATTGCAGCATTATTCACCATAGCTAAGATATGGAACCAATCCAGATGCCCCTCAGTAGATGAATGGGTCAAGAAAAGGTAGTGTGTGTAGATAGATAGATAGATAGATAGATAGATAGATAGATAGATAGATAGATAGATAGATAGATAGATAGATAGATAGATAATAGAATTCTATACCTCCATCAGAAAGAATGACACCACCCCATTTGTTAAGAAATGGAAAGACTTGGCAAACATTATATTAAGTGAAGTAAGCCAGACCCAAAGAAATGTAGGTCCCATGGTTTCCCTTATCTTCAATAACTAGTATATGTCTAAAACAAGCAGAAGAGATCAAAAGCTATGTACGTATGACCATACAAGCTGATGCTAAGTGAAATGAACCCCAAGATAGGGACACAAGAGATTTTCTTTCTTGCTGTTCGTTTTAATGTACTTATAATGTACTATGTGATTTTTTTTTTGTTTCTTTATATGTTCTTTCCCCATGGTATAACCCCTGTTGTCACTGTATTTGATTTCTGTGTCATGTATCTTATATATACATTTTTCTAATTTGGGGAGGGGAAGGGAAATAACAAATTGCTGAAATAAGGACACAGGATGACCTATTGTAACAAGATATATAAGACACTATGCTGAAAATGAACTTTACAACCTTGGGGGAGGGGGAGGAAAGGGATGGTAGGGGAAAAACGAGGGGGTAACAATGCTTGATAGGAAATGGACTCATTACCTTGCTCATGTAACTGTAACCCCTCTGTACAGTATCTTTACAATAAAAAATATTGACAAAGAAAAGAAAAGAAAAAGGAGCTTACAGACAATCTCCAGGCCCAGAATTAAAGGCCCAGGACAAGAAAAGAAATAGCCTTTCACTAAACACTGAAAGATTTCTACCAAACAAAGGAAAGAGAAACAAAAGGCTCTAGAAAACAGTATTTTTACAATAAAAAATGTATAAAAGAGAAAGACAGAAGAGAGAAATAAAAGAAACAAAGAGAGAAAGAGACAGAGGGGGGGAGGAAGGAAGGAAGGAAAGAAGGAAGGAAGGAAGAGAGGAAATAATGACCAAAGGACTGAGGGTAGAGTACCTGTGCTAGGTAAGCACAAAATCCTGTATTCAAGTCCCAGTAAAAACAAATAAATAAAAAAGTATATTTTTTTTAAAAAGGCCCTAGAAGAAAAAGCTTAGGTAAGGGTGGAAAGCTGGTGTTTCTGGCTTTCATACCTTTTCACACAAACTTAACACCTAGAAGTCAGGGATTGACACCTTCAACTTTACCACCTTCAAGATGGGAGCAACTCAGGAAACTTTAGGGACATATCAGGGCTACTATCTAGAGCTCTCTAAGAAAGTAGAAGAGGTAAGGGTATGAAGTAAATTCAAAATAGTAAATCACATCAGCATCTGTCCTGTTAATCCCACAGAGTCCCTATTTTCTCCAAGCCTGCCTCAGTGAAAATGGGAAGAGAACAGAAGCTTATGAGTAAGGAAGCCTGACAGTCTCCATCTGCAACATAGCATGTTATAGATGTGGAAAGCTTCTTCCTGAATACCAAGAACAAGAAACACTTGTCCATGTACTGAACTTGCCATTCTAAGAAAGGTGCAGAACAGTCAGACCATGAGAGCAAAGAAAGGCCCAGGACTACTGCCAGAAACTAATAAGCAACTTACTGGGATTAACCTCCTGCCAGGCTATGGCACAACAAATAACACCAAAGCAGCAGCTACCACTTATTAAATATCCACCTAGAATGAGTGACAAATGTTAATATAAAGTCAAATCTCACAACAGTCTCTTATGACCTGGTGACCCACTATCCCCACTTTAGAGATTAATCCAATACTGTACAACTTGAAAATGGGCAGGAGATCACTGGATATCCTTTCAATGCAATGCTGGAACCACTCACATTATTTGACCTTTCAGGGTTTGTATTATTTGACAACTATGAAGAACAGGCTCTAACTTATTTAAAAAAAAAAAACCTGTTAACTAAGTAATTAAAATGAGTATGTCCTAATAAATACACCATAAGTTGAAGGTAACACTTATCAATATGTACATATCATTTTCCCACCATCAAAATACTGTTAAGTCATGGTAGAGCATACCTGTTATCCCAACTGCTTCAGAAATAGAAGCAGGAGCATCACAAGTTCAAGGCCAGCCTCAGTAATAAATGCAATGAGGGTTTGTCTCAGAAACCTTATAAAATGAGTGCTAGGCCATGGAGCACCAAGTGAAAGATCATGAAAGCCCCATACCCCCAGAAATGGCTGGCTTTGTGGATTAAGTGGTAAAGCATCTGCCTAGTATGGGCAAGGCTATGTGGCAAGGCTCTGGGCTCAATCCTGGTACTCCTCCCAAAAAATTACATATGTAGTATGTACATGCTATCATTCAAACCATTGTAAGGCAGAGACTTTCTATGTTAAGAAGTAGGACCTCTGGGAGGTAATCAGGTCATGGAGGCTCCACTCCCACAGATGAGACTATGCCACACTATGGCACCAATATCTACCTACTGACTCTCATCCTCTTCTCCTCCACTGCCACCTCAAATCGCCCCTGCCCCGCTTCCAGGTACCATTCAGCACCTTGATACTGAATTTCCCAGCCTCTAGAACTGTGAATTCATAAATGTATACTCATTACAAATAACCCAACCTCGAGTATTATTAAATGAATTAAGACACATGTGAATTAATTTAATAAAAAAAAAAAAAAAACTGCCAAGTAATTGAATGCTAGTGCTCACACCTGCATTCCTCAGAGCTCAGGAGGCTGAGCTCTGAGAATCATGGGTTGAAGCCCGCCCCATCCCTCCCCAGGCAAGCAATTTTATAAGACCCTTATCTCCAATAAACTACTCAAAAGCCAGAAATGGAGCTGTGGCTCAAGTGGTAGAATGACAGCCTCAAGGAAAAAAAAAAAGAAACTCAGGGACAGCACCCAGGCCCTGAGTTTAAGCCCCAGAACCAGTCCACCTCCCTCACACTCCCCACCACACACAAAACCATATGTTCCATTTTATATGTGTAGCAAGAACTTATCTTTTCAAAATATCATCTTTTAATCACAGAACTGCCAACATACACATATACAACTTTACTTTGAATAAAGAATTTCAGGAAGTGCTGAAATAACACTACATTGTCAGTTTCCCATTTAAGAGTCCCAACAACTTATTAACACTGGCAAGGGAAAGTCTACTCTGAAACTTCCTTTGCGGGAGGAAGAAAAGTCCCAGGAGCCCCTCCAAACCAACTGAAGACTACAGTTGAAACTCCTCACTTTGCATAACACAAAACCACAAGAATACCCAGGGGCAAGCCCCTAGGCCACAGGCTTGATTAGGTGCTTCTTAAAGGTAGACTACATCAAATAAAGAATGACCAACAGGTAGATTTTTAAAACACATTCAAAATTAAATACTAATTAATATCCTTGGCAACCACAAACTTGGAACACTTAAAAAGCTTCCAGAGCTTCATGGCTCAATGGTAGAGTGCTTGCCTAGCAGACTTAAGGCCTTGAATTTAAACTCCAGTACCAGACCTACTCCCACAAAAACAAAAAAATGTGCCATTGCTGTACCTGTAACCCTAAGGTACTTAGGAGGCTGAGATCCAGAATATAAAGATTTAAAGCCAGCCCAGGCATAAAAGTGCATAAGACTCACCTCAAAAAAAAATATTTTAAAGGGGGGGAAATGTGGCTTAGTGGTAGAGTGCTTGCCTAGCATGCATGAAGCTCTGGGTTTGATTCCAGTACCACATAAACAGAAAAAGCTAGAAGTGGCACTGTGGCTCAAGTGGTAGAGAACTAGCCTTGAGCAAAAGAAGCTTAGGGACAGTGCCCAGGCCCAGAGTTGAGCCCCAGGACTGGTTAAAAAAAAAAAAGGAAGGAAGGAAGGAAGGAAGGGAGGGAGGGAAGGAGGGAGGGAGGGAGGAAGGAAGGAAGGAAGGAAGGAAGGAAGGAAGGAAGGAAGGAAGGAAGGAAGGAAGGAAGGAAGGAAGGAAGGAAGGAAGGAAGGAAGGAAAAAGCAGGGCTATGGGCATGGTTCAAATGATAGAGAGCCAGGCAAGCTTTCAAACAAGCCAAGGAAGCATGAAGCCCTCATTTCAAATCCCAGGAACACCAAAACCTTAAAATAAAATAAAACTTCCAGCAGGTTTTTCCTGCCTACAGAAGACTATATTTCTGTATTCCGTAGGACTTGAACTCAGGAGTTTGCTCAGCTTGCTGGCTCAGAGCTGGCTTTCTCCTATGCCTCCAAGCTGGCCTTCTGCTAGTTAACTGGAGATAAAGTTTCTCTCCAACTTTCTTTCTTTTTTTTTGTTTGTTTGTTTTTTGTATTTTGGGGGTTTTTTTTTGGTTGGTCGTGGGAGCTTGGACTCTGGGCCTGGGAGATGTATCTCAGCTCTTCAGCTCAAGGCAAGCACTCTACCACTTGAGCCACAGCGCTACTTCTGGCTTTCTGGTGGTTTATTGTAGGTAAGAGTCTCACAGGCTGGGAAGGTGGCTCAGTGGTAAAGCGCTCGCCTTGCATACATGAGGCTCTGCGTTCGATTCCTCAGTATCACATAAGCAAAAAGAAAAATGCCGGAAGTGGCACTGTGGCTCAAGTGGTAGGTAGAGTGCTAGCCTTGAGCTGAAGAGCTAAGGGACAGCGCCCAGGCCCAGAGTTTTTTGGGTCCATGACCGGACCCAAAAAAAAAAAAAAAAAAATTAAGTAACAAGGATTACAGGTGTGAGCCACAAGTGCCTAAATTCAATTTTTGTATTCTTAATCTAGTAGAAACCATTTTTACTAATGCACACTTCCAAAGTTATCAAATGCACCACAGGGTTTAGTTAGGCTATCAGAGCAGAGCTTGCAGATTCTACCTGTGATGACGGAAGCATCCAATAAAGTCATTTAGCTGCCAGAGCAAACACCAAACACAAGGACTTCAAAGCAAGAATGTGGACTGCCACAATGTCATCACAAGGTTCACCATAACAACAACAAACAAAAACTCAAATGGCTATATATCTCAGTATGTAAAAATCTTCAACTAAAAAAAGGTCTTGCCTTCACAATGCTTAGGTAGGTTTAACCTGATCTGAAGCTGAGGGCTCTACCTATACAATAATTTGATTGCCAGATTCCTCACTACTACACACTTACAAACTCCTAGAAGGCTGGTGGCACACAGATGAACTTGGGTACATCAGACTTTTTTTTTACAGAGCTCTTCCTTTGGCTTCTAATTTCAGGGGCTTGAAAGACCCAAAGCTCTTAAATTCATGTGCTCTTAATAGCCCTAGAATCAAATGACAAACCTAGGAATCACTGCCTTAGCCAAAGCTAACTTCAAGTGGCCAAAGGCTGGCTGTGAGGTAGTCTTACAGCAGAAAGCCCTTCTAATGGACCATACTTGACCATATGTGCAACGGCAGAAATTCACAAACCCTGTTCTATGGGATAACTTTAGAAATACTGCTGACCAAATGGAGCCACTATCCAATAGCTTCTTTGAACTAAACAATTAAAAAAAAAAAAAAAAGCCAGCCAGGAGCAGGGGCTCATGCCTGTAATCCTAACTATTCAGGAGGCTGAGATCTGAGGATCAAGGCTCGAAACCAGACCAGGGAAAAAAATTCTGTGAGACCCTTTAATTAACCACAAAAAGCCAGAAGTAAAACCATGGTTCAAGTGGTAAGAGTACTAGTCTGGAGCACAAAAGCTCAAGGGGGAGCACAAGGCCCAGAGTTAAAAACCCTGGACCAGCAAAAAAAAAAGCAGAGTGGACAGAGAAAATTAAGGCTTTGGGGCAAAGCTAGTTCTGCTTGGTAACCCAACCTAGGGTAACTATATCTCTCTACCCCACCATCACTCTCTAAAACAGGCAGATCTAAACCCAGTATTTCACTGAGAATTCTCCAGGATTATCATCTACCCAGAAGTGAGAATAATCATTACTACACCAGAACACCAATGCACAGGGGTCTGGAAACCATACATCCAGATCTAAGCAAAGGGCCACTTTACACAATTCAACATTTCTGGATGAGGTTTCACTGTGGCTAGCACTGAATGAAGAAGATAAGGTAAGGTTGACTATTGCCCAAGGGCTTATCCTTTAGGGAGCTAGGCAGACAAGCAAAGATAACTAGAACGCAAGCCACCAACATAAAGCACCTCCTAAGCATGAAGAACTGGAGGAGAAACCTTTCTTGCCTTAGGAAGCTAAAGAAAAAAATGAAAGCGCCGGGCGCTGGGGGCTCATGCCTATAATCCTTGCTACTCAGGAGGCTGAGATCTGAGAATCGCAGTCCAAAGCCAGCCTAGGTAGGAAAGTCCATGAGATTCTTATCTCCAATAAATCACCAGAAAATGGGAAATGGCAATGTGGCTCTAGTGGTAGAGCGCTAGCCTTGAGCTGAAGAGCTGAGGGACAGCACCCCGGGCCAGAGCTCAAGCCCCATGACCGACAAAAAGAGAAAAGAAAAGAAAGAAAAGCGGAAGGAGAAAGGAGAAAGCAAAACTTGGGTCTTTGAACCAAACTTTCAAAGACAAATAGAAGGCCAATGGAGATATCCCCAACATCACCTGATAACTTCTTTGAGTGATATGGCTGTATTCCAATGTTTTTTGAGATGAAGGTTTGCAGATGTTTACTTAGCCAAAGACATAACTATAAATCAAAGGTCAGGGAGACATGTGCCACCAGATATTAATGTAAAAGGACTAACAGGATAAGGTAGATGTAGGGATTTTGTAATTGGATAGATTTCATTTATCCATCTATGAATAAATCTTAAGCCAGTATTCAAATTTCAGCTTAATATTCCCAGTATAACAGGCTGTGGCACTAAAATCCCAAACAGGGTCAAATTAATTTACATTGTCACTCCTAATTCCTATAGAAAATCCTATTGCCAACCAGACCTACAAAAAACAAGGTGGCAATGGAACTGGTCTAAGAGTAGCAGGAAAGACTGGGCTCAACATCCTCGACCTGACACTGGTCCTCCCACTTACCTAGGTTGCAGTGAAACTCATAGGGCATCATCTTTGCCAGGGCATTGCTCCACACAGTAAAGTATTAACAAAGGTGAAGAAGTTTCCTTTGAGGAGAAAAGGGGATCTGCTAATGCTGCCTACGAAGTAGAAAATAGACAAAAAAGACTAACAAGACCAAGAAAGTCCACCACAGGGCAGAAACACAGCACTTGTCTTCTGCTGAAGTACTGTAATTAAAAATAATTAACTCGACTAGTTGACAGCAAAACCCACCTGGGTTGAAAGACTTTACCAACAGCACCACACCTACCACTTACCAAGCAAAAGTGGGGTCACGACCTCGTTGGGTAACTTCTAAACATCTCTGCAGCTCCACTCTGAGCCTTCAAGTGTCCACCGGGCCTCGTTAAAGGTAGAAGTCTTAAAGTCCTCGCTTCCCCCTTGGGCTGGATCTCTCCTTCCCTCTCACGTGTACACTCAGAGACGCGCGCGCGCGCCAAGCTAAGAGCTTCCTTGGGGTGAAATTTCAGAGCACACTGCAAACCTGCGGTTTACTGGCTTCCCGAGACAGTGGGAATTAGACTTCCAGACAGCCCCAGGGCTCGCTATTTCCCATCTGTTGACAAGGAAGCCAACCGGTAGGTGCCCCTAACACTTACTCCAAACATCAGACACCACCGTGCTCCACTGTGAAAACTGTTCCAGCGGTGCCAGAAACCTTGGGAAACCACAGTCCCTAGGAGCCTTGACAGCAGTAGACTCCACATCTAAAGGGCCTTTCCGGGGCAGGGAAGAGAGATCAGACTCGTGCCGTGTCCCCCCTCACGCAGCCGCTCTTTCCAGGAACTGGGCACGCCCTGGCAGTCCGCCGCGCGCCCGACACGAACCCATCACGCCGCGGACAGGCTCCCCACGCCCCTCTGCTCACCCTCACGTGGTTTTCCACGGCCGCGCGACCCGCCAGCTTCTTCGCCTCCTCGGCCTTGGACATTGTGGATTGGGCCGGACAGACCCTGTTGGAGTCCGGGCCGCTGGTGCTTAAGGCGCCCGTACCACTTCGGGTCCCGGACTGTTCACGCCCCGGCAGCTGCACGAGGGAGCCCGGGAGGGCCCAGCTGTTCCCGCCTCCTCCAGAGGCCGCGCCCCCGGCCCGCCCGGGCAGCGGGGCCAGGACCCGCCCGTAGAGGGTGCTGAAGGGCCCGGGGCGCTGCATCCCGACGCCTCGCTCCAGCCCCAGCTGAGATCCCGCCCCCCGCTCTTCCGGAAGTCTGTTCGCTCACGCCAGCAGCTCGCGCGCCCGGCTGCGTGCGGCCTGCCGGGAGATGTAGTTCTATGACGTTGCTAACTCTTAACAATGGCCCTAGTATGAACTACCAGCCCCACAATGCTCGCCGACCAGTTATGCAAATTATCCGCGACGGAATCGGGCGCATCTGTCCGAAAGGTCCAAGTAGCGACGGGCACGGATGGTTGGCGACTGCTATCCAGGTCATCACACTACCGTTAGAAGAATGCTAGGGACTTTTCTATCTGCCCAGGCATCAGAAAAAGGAGTGCTAGAAATGACCCTGTCCATTTTCCTGTGGCTGAGCCTTGAACGACACTCGGAGAAGAGATTCTGCGGAGGTCAAGGCCCTCTTAAAAATGACACCTCTAAGCCCGCTGGCTCACGCCTGTAATCCTAGCTGATAAGGAGAGTGGGATCTGAGGATCACGGTTCAAAGCCAGCCGGGACAGAAAAGTCCCTGTGAGACTCTTATCTCCAATTAACTACTAAAAAAACAAAAGTGGCTCTGTGGCTTAAACTGATAGAGCTCTAGCCTTGAGCAAAAGAGCTCAGGGACAGCACCCAGACCCTGAGTTCAAGCCTCAGGACCAGCACAAAAATAATAACAATAATAATGTCTCACAGAGCAGACTTGGAGCTGCAGCCTTCTCAGTAGCCCTCCCAGCCTGAGTTGTTGGCAGTTGTTTTCCAAGAGATAGAGTCTCTGGATCTTTTGTTTTCTGTTTTTCCTTCGCTGGCTTCCAAAAGAGCATCCTGTGGATCTCAAATCATCAGAACAGCCAGGATTACCGTTTGAAGCCCCTAACTCCTGGTTTAAAAGTATTTTAAAGTTAAGGGCTGGGAATGTGGCTTAGTGGTAGAGTGTTTGCTTTGCATGCATGAAGCCCTGGGTTCGATTGTTCTGTACTAATAACAACAGAAAAGGCGGAAGTGGTGCTGTGGCTCAGTGGCGGAGTGCTAGCCTTGAGCAAAAAGAAACTCAAGGACAGTGCCCAGGGCCTGAATTCAGTCCCTAGGACTGGCAAAAAAAAAAAAGAATAAGCAATGAGGAAAATAATACTAAGCTCAGTTGTAGTTCCTTGAAACTATGTGTGGCTTTTGGTCTTCACACCCATATTACTGAAATCCTATCTGTCTACTTTTGAGCTCAAATTTTTCAAACCTGCCCAGGGCCTTCATGATTTACATGTAAAGTCCCAGCAAGAACTACTATTAATCTCCATCATCTAGGCCATATATTCTCTAGACACAAAAATATATTTACTGTGTTGTGCTTCCTGGAGCTATCTGCTATCTGCTCCTGTATATTTTCCTTGGTTTATAGGAGGAAAAGTTGTTTGAGATAATACTGGAGCCCTTAGCTCCAATTAGAAATTAACATAAGATTCTGACTAAGAGATGGGAAAAAATATCTAGAGTTGATCTGCAAAGTTGAAAGCCATAGCAGGTAAGTTTGTGGCTTTTTCTGTATCTCTTTGGAGGCAGTTTTTCCCTGTTTAGGCTTTTCAGATGCAATACCAAAATGTACCTGGAACAAAAGTTAGCCCAAATCTGCTTTACTCCTCTAGCCTAAGGGACCTTAAAATTCAGAAGTATACAAGCTTGGAATGCGGAGGTCAATTGCTTTTCTATTTTGTTTTGTTTTTGTTTGTTTTTGTTTTGTTTTGCTGGTCCAGGTGCTTGAACTCTGGGCTTGGGCGGCTGTCCCTGCACTCCTTTTTTTGCTTAAGGCTAGCATTCCACCACTTGAGCTACAGCTCCACTTACAGCTTTTTCTATGATTAATTGGAGATAAGAGTCTCACAGACTGACTTTCTGTCCTGGAGGACTTCAAACCTTGCTAGGATTATAGGTGTGAACCACTGGTGCTGAGCTTTTGGTTATTTTTTTGGTTTTGTTTTCACTGGTCCCAGGGATTGAACTCAGGACCTGGGTGCTGTCCCTGAGCCTCTTTGTGCTCAAGGCTAGTGCTCTCCCACTTGAGCCTTTGAACCATGATCCTCAGCTTCAGCTTCCTGAATAGCCAAGATTACAGGCGTGAGACACCAGCGTCAGCTTCCTTTTTTTTTTTTTTTTCTGAGTAGTTTGTTTGGAGATAAGTGTCTCACAAACTTTCTTGCTATGGCTTTGAACCGCAATCCTCAGATCTCAGCCACCTGAGTAGCTGAGATTATAGGCATGAGCCCCATTGCTTGGCTTTTGGTTGTTTTTTATTTGTTTATTTTTATGGTGCTGATAGTTGAATCCAAAACTTTATGCAAGCTAGGTGAGATCTACCACCAATCTATATCCCCAGCTTCAATCTCCTTTATAATCATCAGATCCACTAAAACCTTTTTTAAAAAAAAATTTTTTTTTTTGGTCAGTCGTGGGGCTTGAACTCTGGGCCTGAGTGCTGTCCTTGATCTCTTCAGCTCAAGGCTAGCACACTACCACTAGAGCCACAGCACCACTTCTGGTTTTCTGGTGATAAGAGTCTCACGGACTTTCCTGCCCTTTCCTGCCCAGGCTGGCTTTGAACTGTGATCCTCAGATCTCAGCCTCCTGCATAGCTAGGATTATAGGCATTGAGCCACCAGTGTCCAGCAAGCATTTTTTTTTTGGGGGGGGGGTCCGGTCATGGGGCCTGAACTCTGGGCCTGGGTGCTATCCCTCAGCACTCTACCACTTGAGCCACAGCGCCACTTCCAGCTTTTTTCTTTTTGCTTATGTGGTGCTGAGGAATCAAACCCAGGGCCTCAGCCATGCTAGGCAAGTGCTCTACCACTGAGCCACCTTCCCAGCCCCCAGCAAGCATTTTTTAATTAATTGTACAGAGAGGTTTCAATGTCATAAGTCTGGTTGTGAGTATAGTGCATCTTGCTCAATTTCACCCCTTCCATCCTTCCTATTTCTCCCCCTCCCCTCTCTACCTTCAAGTAATATAAAAAGCTGTTTTTGTTCCACCCCCTCTTTTAGAGAACTTGATAGGTTGAGTGTCCCGACCTGCAGGACTTCAACGAGGGCAATGAACCTAAGTGAGAAGGAATGAAGGGACAAGAGACACGAAGAAGGACAGCAAGACAAGGATTCTGATCAAGCTGCCAAATTTTTATTTTTCACACAAGGGTATTTATATGCTTGGACTTAGGGCGTGGTGAAAAGGTGGTCGTTAGTAGCTGCAGGGTGTTTACTTAGGGCTTGGTGAAAAGGTGGGATTCTGTAAACTCATCCTCAAGACGTTCCAGTGAGATAGTCAAGCTTATTATGTTGAGAGACTTAACTTTTGGCTCCCGACAGTTGAGATTTCAATGAACTCTTGGAAAAGAATTTTCAGAGCCTGAATAAAAGATCTCATAAGGTTTAGCCCGCCATTGTACCATATGACTGTTGGTGAGGGAGGCTTTAGACACCTTGCCCATTTAGGCTCCAGTGTGGGCCAGACTGAGAGGAAACAAAGACAATGGACACATGGCATGTCCCTTAATGCTGGGATATAGGTGCTCCCAGAGAGATGCATATCCATGATTATGTGCCCTGCCTGGGCTTTGGTGAAGTAGGAAAAACTCCACACTTAGACACACACACACATACACACACACATACACACACACACATGTGTAAGAATGTTATGATGAAACCCTTCTTGTACAACTAATGTATATAATAAAAAGAAAGGAATCACCAGCACCAGTGGCTCACGCCTATAATCCTAGCTACTCAAGAGGCTGAGATTTGAGGATGGTGGTTCAAAGCCAGCCCAGGCAAGAATGTCCATGAGACTCCTATCTCCAATAAACACTAGAAAACTGGAAGTGGCGCTGTAGCTCAAGTAATAAAGCACTCGCCTTGAGCTGAAGAGCTGAGGGACAGAGCCTAGGCCCAGAGTTTAAGCCTCACAACCGACAAAAAAAAAAAAAAAAACAAAAGGAATCCTCAAATGGGAGTTGATGATGGCTCATGTACCTCATGCAACTTGTTTCACCTGACTGATTCACCCACAGCCAGAACTCCTGAGATGGTGAGCCTTCTTTAGACCTATCAGGTCAAAGAACTTCTCACCTCCAAAGGAGCTGAGTGCTTCTTTTTCCCTCAGCACTCATAGAAGGTCATCTTTACTCTTCATCAGGGTTATCCAGTCCCATCGATATTCCTCCCTCTCTACACCCCTGTTGGAGCTAGAAGAGGCCTAGGAGCTGTGTGGGTGAGTTAAGAAGAGGAGGATGAAGGATGTCAAGCTTTACCAATCTGGTGAGGGAGAGGGACAGACATCCACAAGGTCTGGCCTTTTCACACTGTCAGAATGATCTAACCCTAACATCTGTACTATTGCTCAAAGAGACTGTCTTAGTCTAGCCTTGAGCAACATCAGCCTAAAAAATTTGTTTCCTGCCTCCAAAAACTGAGGAAGAAAATAACCTGTTCTGCCATTAGGGCATATAAATGAGTTCTCCAGAGAATACAGAGACACTTTCCAATACTGGAAAACACTGAATCTTCCTAAGCTGGCTCCCACACCTCAGTTTAGCTCTGTATCCCTCAAAGGTCTCTCCTGATTTATCAGTAAAGAACTGAAGCCATGTACTGGATTGAAGAAAACATCCTAGCACAAGTGAAATTTTGTTCCTGAGACTGGATTTTATTTATCTCCTCCCCTGATTAGACTGTTACCTTAGGGGGAAGAAAACAGTGGCAAGATGAAAGCCATAACAAAAACCAGACATGAATGAGCAAATCTTTTTGATCGTTTATGGTGTTTTGTTTTGTTTTGGTCAGTCTTCATAGGTCTTGAACTCTGGGCCTGGGCACTGTCACTGAACAGTTCAGCTCAAGGCTAGCACTCTACCACTTTGAGCCAAGGCACCACTCCCAGTTTTCTGATGGTTAATTAGAGATTAGAGTCTCAGGGATTGTCCTGTCTGGGCTGGCTTTGAACCATGATCCTCAGATCTCAGCCTCCTGAGTAGATAGAATTA